CAATCACCACGAGATTACTCTGTGTAATACCAAGTTCTTAACGTTTTGTATGTCGAACCTATTTTAGGACTGACTCAGTACAAATACAATCCTCCACAGTGGAATACTAAGTCAACTGCTAATGTGTTAATGATTATTGCTAAAACAGTCTATCATGCTTTGGATAAGAATAGTGAAGCCTAGGCTCTCAAGGGAATTTGACAGGGTTTGGCATATTGGTCTTTTTCACAAGTTGAAATGTTATGATATTTCTAAAGGAATTTTTGAACTGATTCACTCTTTTTTATCAAATCATGAAATGAAAATTACTTGAATGGCCACCCCTCTAGCTCTTTTGGCATAAAATCAGATGCTTCCAAGCAATCTATTCTTTTACCAACATTGTTTCTAATTTTCATCCACTACCTTCCTGATATCATCCATTCTCAGCTCTGTATCTATGCTAATTGCACAACTATTTATTCCTGTCTTTGATAAGGTAAAATTGGCAGCTGATATAAAAAATGACCTACAACCTTTTTTTAACTGGAGCTAGGAGTACTTAATTTTAATACCTCCAAAATGAAACTTCTCTTTTTTAATTGTCTGAAAGACCCCTTTTTAGCTTCAATCAGCATGGCTGATACAAACCTTCAGAAGAGTGACTCATGTACCTTCTTGGACTAATTTTTCCACTAATATGAAGTGGAAAGAGTATATTGAATCAATTGCTAAGTCTGCATCTAGGAAAGTTGGTTCCCTGTGTTGAGCTAAACAAATTTTCTTGCCAGAATCTATCTTATATATTTAGAAATCTGCTATTCATCCTAACTTTCAATATTGCTGCCACATCTGGTTTATATATTTAGAGATTCTTGATCAAATCTAAAGAATAATCTGCAATGTTATTGATCCTGACCTGTCATCTCGGTTTCAGTTACTCTCCCTCTGTTGTAATGTATTTTTCCTGTGCCTTTTCTCTAAATACTTAACCAGTTTATCAGAATTTACCTGTATTCAAGCATGATAATCATTTTCAAAAATTGATGCTTTTACATAAAACTGAATTATGGTAAGAAGAAAGAGAGAGAGAGAGAGAGAGAGAGAGAGAGAGAGAGAGAGAGAGAGAGAGAACAAACATGCACGATCATTATCTTTTTGCTCTCTCTTCCTATGCCAGATAACCTGAGATAGTTTTTGTCAAAGAGCCCAGCTTTGAGTGGCCATATTTACTTTCTTTTGGTAACACATCAGTCCAAGGCTTTTGCATTGATCATCTGATTGCCACTGTCACATCAGGTTGAGGATGCTGATCAGCTCACCTGATTGCATGGTCAGAGTCCAGAGATTTGTCAGCACTGGTTTTGGAAATCTTCTTTTCTTGGGAAAAATATAAATCCTCTTCTTCTCCCCCAACCATCTATGGATAAATAGCAGGGCAGACTAGGTTCTATAGCCTTGAATAGCAAATGGTCTACTGCAGAAATAAATGGCAACCTACTGCAGGAAAAGATCTGCCTCATCAGTCATGTATTGAAAGATACATGATCGCTTAAGCATGTAACACGCATGGCACATAACTGACTGACTGAATAGAAATGAATCAATAAATAAAAAAGAATGAAACTAATAAAGTATAAAATTATCACTAAATATATGAGAATATTTCTTTTATTATTGTTGTTGCTAAAAATAAATATTTGAGAGATAAATAGTAAAGGAAGAAATTCACTACTGAACAAAAAAAATATTACAACACAAAATACTTTTCCTACAAATTTGGAAATATATGTATATATATATGTATATTAAATATTAATTTATGGTTAGTTACTTTTATATACAACAGAGACTTTTCTAAAGAGATGAGTCACTTTGGAACTCAATTTACAACTTAACACAAAATTTATCATTTGAAACCGTTGTTCAAGTGTTATCAGAAAACTGAATCTTAATTCTCTAACTCAATTATAATGGTAACCATTCAAATTGCTAATAGCTCAGTGCAACAAAAAGCCACAGTAAAATACTACATCTATAAAAAAAAATAGCTTCCCATTACATCAAGGAAAGTAAAAAACTTCCTATTAGCAAAGAAGACATACTTTCACTTTCACTTTTAAATGACATCATCATAATTCTTACTTTGCCTCAAGCAGTTTCTCTTTATTTTTTAACAACTTTTATTTTATAAATTCACACACTTGAAAGTTAATCAAAGAATTAAAACTTCTGCTTGATTTCAGAATAGAATACACAAAAATGTCGATAATTGGTTACAAAAAGCAATTAATAAACATGTTGAGATGAGACCTTCAAGATACTACAAAACATCTGTTGCTCATAAGTTTCTGAGAAACCTCGAATAAGATGAATTAAGCAGTTTATCAGAATTTATCTGTATTTAAGCATGGTGATCATTTTCAAAAATTGATGCTTTTACATAAAACTGAATTATGGTAAGAAGAAAGAGAGAGAGAGAGAGAGAGAGAGAGAGAGAACAAACATGCACGATCATTATCTTTTTGCCCACTCTTCCTATGCCAGATAACCTGAGATAGTTTTTGTCAAAGAGCCCAGCTTTGAGTGGCCATATTTACTTTCTTTTGGTAACACATCAGTCCAAGGCTTTTGCATTGATCATCTGATTGCCACTGTCACATCAGGTTGAGGATGCTGATCAGCTCACCTGATTGCATGGTCAGAGTCCAGAGATTTGCTTCAACTGGTTTGGAAATCTTTGTGATTTTTACATTGCAATGTCAATTTTATCAGCTTACTCTTTATAAACAATCATTTTGGAAGAAAATATTTTATCCTTTGCCCATATAGATGTGTATACATATAGTGTTCTCCACATAAAAGAAAATCGATCTTGTTTCACATTTTGCCTTAGTGGGGAGGCCAGGTAAATACTCATCTATGTTTTTTATCCAAAAGGGCTTGATAAAGTACAGCACAAAAACCTGGGCAAACATGGATAAACATACCCACAATAAGTCAGAGTGTGAAAAGAATAGTTTTTCCCATTTTTAATTAACTTCACTCTTTGGCAATATTTAAAGCGATGATTAAAAGTGATGAATTTAATTAATTTAATTACATTCACTCCTTGGCAATGTCTATTGTTTTAAAAAGCAATCATTAGAACAATAAAGCCTAAACTAAAGTGAATTTATACATTTTCTTTTGAGAATTGACAACAAAAATAATAAACACTATTTATTATATTTATTGGAATAGTTGGCAAATTATTGGCTAATTTCAAACTTTATAAAATGGTAAATAAATAATAATGAGTGCCATTTTGATTGCATAAAAAAGACATACAAATGAAAGATAGTATTTAATATCTGCCAATACCTAATCAATAATGGACTATTCCATTCTGATGGTGTAGAAAAACAAAAGACATATGCTACTACTTAATTTAAGTTCAAATATTTGACAATGCAATAAGGGAGTTTCTACAGATATTTTTATTGTCAAAGAACTTGCCATGAGCTTATTCAATCATTAACTGAAGAATTAAGTACGATTCATCAGAAAATTTGAATACGAAAACCATGAAATATTTCTGGTTTTTTCTAGTTTAAATAAATGTCTGTACTTTTCTTGTTTTGACATCTCCCATTTGTCACTTGCATAAAAAGTGCAAAAAGATTATACTACTGCCTTATTACAACTATAATTACTTTTTTTATGTATGACCTTTTTAATGACATTTCTCTGATTTTTCCCTGAATATATTTTCTAATAATACCCTATTTTATATGGACAAAAAAATGTAGATTTAAGATTTCAAATTAGATTGTCTTGTAGTTAATGAAGCAACTGATTTCTCTGCAAAAAAGCAGTTAACATTTTAAACCCTAAAAAGTCAGTTTATTATAAGATTTTATTGAACTTTTCATCAGAAATTATTTGGTAATAAATCAAAGTATTTTTCAAGTTTTTTTCAAATTTTTTAGGAATATTTTTAGGATTAAAAATGTAGATGCACACATGCAGACACACATACATTCACAATTTGAATGTATCTGAAATGGACATCTTTCATGCAAGGGTTAAGTTCCCTTTTTCTCTGGCAATAACAATGGGTAGCAAAAAAAATGTATAAGCCAAAATGTGCTCTCCTTTGAAGTCATTTTTATGACTATATCCATATATAAACTAAATATATTTCTTAATAAATATAGTTAAATGTGTTAGCTACTTCTATAATTAATGTATAACGTTTCTACGAGAATACTATGCACGAAGTCATGCTGGTGAAATAGTACATGCACAAAATAACAGTTTGATTGCTTTGTAATAAAAGATAACATTTATTTAACAAAAGGAAAGTTCAAGGTTCTTTACCTAAAAATAAATGGAATACACAAGAAAATATATTTGATTGTGACTTGCCTGTGTAAGTGTATTTGTGTGTGAAATATGCACAGTCCTTTTTGCTTTGGTGTGAAATGTTGATGGCTCACACTTTGAAAGAGGAAAACAGGAAAAGAGTTAAATAAAGTTCCACGTTTTTATTATTACCCTCTGGGCATGCTGATGATAGTATGTTTATTAAGACACTACAGCAATATTTTATATGGACAAATAATTTAAATTTAAAATTTCATCATCTTCCTGTCACCAAAACAATGGTTACCAAACTAATACTACTACTACTGTACTGATGCGGCATTCACCCTGGGCAGATTGAGCCGGCTTCTTCCTGTTATGAGAAGAAGATTCTTGGGATAAATTACAGAAGTAGGGTACCCAGGCCTACTCGGATAACGTTCTTGCTTGCCGCAGGGTTCCCACAGACGCAGAGACAGGAACGACCAGAAGCCGCCGGTTACTGATATAGACGCTCCTTGGATTTTCACCAGAGCCCTTGTTAGCCGGCGTGTGTATCAGACCTGTCTGCCTTGGGTGGCCCTACCAGGAACGAAGTTCTGGGCGGCATAGCTCTGACACTACCGTTTACACCCCGCCCCACTGACTGTGAGGTAAGGGTTGGACTTTGGGGGCTTACAGTACCAGGTGTTCCCAAGCGGTCCCCCATCTAAGTACTGACCTGGCTCTACGATGCTTAACTTCGGTGATCGAACGAGAACCGGTGTTTTCAGCGTGATTTGGCCATAAGCCAAAACTAATAATAGTAGTAATAATAATAATTCTATCCTACATTAAAGATATAGCTTAATGGTGTTTTATAGCAATGCCTGTGCAAACATAGCAGAATTTAAAAAAGAGAGAAAGCAAGAAACAACTAAATAAATGTCACTTTTGATACATGCAAAAAGGAAAGTCCTAAATCGATTATGATGTTTGGAAGGTAATTATGATTTACCAGAAAGGATATCAAAGCAAACCTAAGTAATTTCTTTTAAAAATGATCTATCAAACACATAATCAACTTCATTTCCAACAACTGTAACCCGATGGGTAGGCAAATATTCAATTCTACAGTTAAAGAAATCTGGTTTTCAGCTTGTTTGTTTCTGAAATGTTCTAGTGATCAAAACAAATTTGGTGAGCATGGAAGATGTGGAAGAAACTCCCATCCTAAAGATCTTATTGTTTCTTGAGTTTGTTTTGCAGAGTATGTCCTTGCATTGTCATGTTGGAGAATAACATATTTTCTGTTTAACAAAGCAGGATACTTTTGTTTTGATGTTGCAGTGAAATACATAATTACTTACCACTGAAGATGTTAAGAAGATTGTGGGTTTTGTGTGTATTTTTTAGGTGATGGTGCATGTTCGATATACAGACAAAAAAAATAGTAGAAGCATACAAAAAACATGAGTTTCTGCTAAAGACATTTATTTCTTTTATGTTTACTATATTAAAACAAAGTTAAATGTCTTTAAATTATGTCCATTTACCTTTTTGGTTCAGAAATTATTTATGAGAAATAAGGATATGTATGGGTAAAGATGGTCAAGCTTAAGTCAGATTTGCACTGAATTCAGAAGACCAAATCTCTACTTCATGAGTAGTGCATCTGAAAACATGTCTGAATGATCATGTTGGAAAGGAGAAATAGTTCAGTCATCAGTGGGTTGGGAAACTAACATTCCCCAAAGGGAACACTATTATTGCTTGGTTTATATCTTGAAGCCAAGAAGAGAAAGGGAAGGATTCTGTGCTTTCTTGAAGTGGGGCCATGAAATTGCACATGTGACTAGAAGCCTTTTCCAGTTTCTTCATAACTTGCATCAGGGGGAAAATTAATTAATTTTTTTTTTTAATGGTTATTATTATTTTATTTATTGGTTTTATTTCATTTTCTCCACCCCACTAGTGCCACTTAATATCTATAAAAAATTAAACTGCTTATGTTTTAGAATTGAACTTTTTATTAATCTTTAGTACCATACAAAACAGTCACTTTCTCACTGATGTGGCATGAAGCTTCCTTCTGTCTTTTCTATGAATATTTTTATGGCAATTGCTCTGACAAACTTTTTTCCCAGGTACCCCAAATACAGGAATTTAATCATGCTACTAGATTGACGTCTAGGTCTCACCTGTTTACTATTGAAATAGCTAAATGCAACTTCTGCTTCTACTCCAACAGTTGCTTTTTTTTGCACTTTCTGCCTACGGAACTGCCTTCCTTTTACTTGCTTCTCTGATAACTACAATCTTCAAAAATTTAAATTCAACATCAATCACCATCTTCTTGAATCCCATTCATCTTTTGTCCTTTCCCGAAGCCTTCATATACTCAGTCTTTTCTCTCACTTACACACTCTGTAACCCTCTGCATACTAGTAGCATTCCCACCTTGCTTGGGGTGAAATGATTAAAAAAATATGCACTTGAATACATATCTTCACTCACACATTTAATTTTATATAATCAATTTTTCTTGATACTTTTTATTTCAGTATCGTAACTGTAGAATATTGGTTAGCTTGCCAGTGGTCTGACAAACAAGTAGACAAGTGTAGCCAAAGCTAAAACTGACTTGAGTCATTTCATGGAGAAATATATGGGTGAATAAAGACCACTCATGCAAATGTATTGAGCAGGTCTATTATAGCAAAAGGGACCAACCTAACTGGTGTATTAGGCACTCTCCTATAAAATGAGTTAAAATCAGCTGGCTTGCTTTACAAGGAAACAGAAGAAGGCAGCCATGTTGGCAGGTAAGTCACCTGACTTCTACAGTAACTAAATTTTTTTATCGTAATTAAATATTTTTACTTCAAAAAGTATAATTTCTCTCTGTACAAAATTATTATTATCGGACAATATGATAAACAAACTTTATATATCAAACTAACAGTGGATAATTGGATGAAAAAATGATATTATAGGGATGCAAAAGGCAATTGTCTCTCTTTAGTAGAGACAAACAATGAATGTGTGCCTCCTTGGGGAGACCCCATGCCTTGATTGCTTATTAGGACAAACACAACCCAGACCTCAAGGGGAACTCATATGATCCATTTTAACTGGTTCCCTGAACAGCTCTAGTAAGTACCTGGCGCCTCCCACTATACTATGCCTTTACAAGACCAACATCTTTTTTCCACCCTACAACCACTTTCCCACAAACAAAATGTTGTACATCCCATGCCTTGAGTGCTTATTGAGACAAACTCAACCCAGACCTCAAGAGGAACTCATACATACTCTACTGTAACTGGTTCCCTGAACAGCTCTAGTAAGTACCTGACACCTCCCACTATAAGTTTACAAGACCCATATGTGTTTTCCACCCTACAACCCCTTTCCCACAAACAAAATATTGCAAGCATTACATTGCTATTTCCATGGGAAATTTTCAGATGAAATACATTCCTTAGAACTACATTCCTTAGTTCCACCAGTTCTAAGACCTACCATGCCAAGCACATTGTAGCAAACCACCTTTATTCCTTATGTATTCCATTTGAGATATGTAAGTTTCAATCAAGCAGCTTCTTCTCACAAATCACTCCTTTGTGGAAGTGATACCCAAGAAGATGCTACCCCAACACTATGGTTTTGGCCTGTTCAAATCTAGTGTCAACTGTCATCTTCCCCACATATCCTCATAAACTATGCCTATTAGGCTATAACTCCCTACCTTGAGTCACTCTTGTGTCTTGTGCAGGGTGAACATTCTAAAAAAAAAGACCTACACATGTATGATTAAATTGATAAAATTACTTTTTTAGTAACTGTTTACCCATTACAACCATGAGCCACTCAATGTAGAGGATTACGAAGTGAGGTGTATGCATATAAGATGAGAATGTAAGAAGTGGATTTTAAGAGGGTATGAAGGAAAATTAAGAGTTAACCCAAGATTTAAAGAGTTTAATATTGAAGTGATTGGGGAAGCATCCTCTCAGGAGTTTTTTCCATAATGTAGTAGTTCTTGGGAAGAAGCTGTCTGAATAGTACTCCCTTCTTACTAATGGAATACACAGGGAACAAGTATGAGTTGTTCAAGGATGTAATCAGGTGAAAAAAACAACAAAGATGAGGATATTAGTCTGAATGTAAATAATGATAACTTCTCATCCCGGAAATTCAATAAGAAGGCAATCAGGTGATAATAAAAAAGATGAGGATATTAGTCTGAATGTGAATAATGATAACTCCTCACCTCAGAAATTCAGTAAGAAGGCAATCAGGTGATAATAACAACAAAGATGATGATATTAGTTGGAATGTAAATAATGATAACTCCTCATTGCAGAAATTCAGTAAGAAGGCAATCAGGTGATAATAACAACAAAGATGAGGATATTAATCTGATTGAAAAAATGATAACTCCTCATCCTAGAAATTCAGTAAGAAGACAATCAGGTGATAATAACAACAAAGATGAGGATATTAGTCTAAATGTAAATAATAATAACTCCTCACCTCAGAAATTCAGTAGGAAGGCAATTAGTTGATAATAACAACAAAGATGAAGATATTAGTCTGAATGTAAATAATGATAACTCCTCATGCCAGAAATTCAGTAGGAAGGCAATCAGGTGATAATAACAACAAAGATGAAGATATTAGTCTGAATGTAAATAATGATAACTCCTCATCCCAGAAATTCAGTGAGAAGGCAATCAGGTGATAATAACAACAAAGATGAAGATATTAGTCTGAATGTAAATAATGATAACTCCTCATGCCAGAAATTCAGTAGGAAGGCAATTAGTTGATAATAACAACAAAGATGATGATATTAGTCTGAATGTAAATAATGATAACTCCTCATCCCAGAAATTCAGTAGGAAGGCAATTAGGTGATAATAACCACAAAGATGAGGATATTAGTCTGAATATGAATAATGATAACTCCTAGACATTGCAGGACTTATTTGTGATGATCAGGGCTAGTGGAACTAAGAAATGTAACTATTCAGAATATTTGATATGGAAATACCAATAGAGTAGAGAGAGACTTGTTATGTTTCATCTGTAGGAAAAGCATTGTCAAGTGGAAAATAATCCATCATGAACAAGGCTGTGAAAATACTTCTATCATGATTGAAAGTGCAGATTATGTAGCTCCAACCCAGATATGGCAGCAGTACTTCATTTTTGATCTGGCTCTTGTAAAGATAGAGCATGGCAGATAGAGTCAGGTAATTCTGGGCCCAACTAGTCTCTATAATGATGGTTCACATATATGAGTTCCAGTTGGGACATGGGGTCAGCTTGAGTCTCATCAGCCTCCAAGGCATGGAACCTCCTTGAGAGAACTAGATTCACTCATCTGAATAAATCCTTTCGAAGAACAAAACACATCACATAAGATTTATTTCTGTTTGTCATTCACTTATTAATCTCTATCTATAAAAGGCAGGATGTGTGTGTGTGTGTAACGAATGCATGGCTGCAATTTTCAATGGATTTGCAACAAAATTTACATGCACATGCTCCAAGTTAGCGGGATGGCCAAGACCAACTTTGCATTTTCCAACTCCCATCAATAGTGGAAATAATCGATTTTTTCATGCTTCTACGTAAGTTTTCATGTAGTTTGCAGCCATTTTCTACTGGCCAGAGTGAGAGCCTATAGCTGGCTGCCACGAATAGGCAGGAAGATTCTATTGGCCAGCATGTGAGCCAACAGCTGACTGACACGAATGTTAACTAGCATGCTAGCATGCAAAAAACATCAATAGCTGCAT